GACCGCCAACTTATCGCGCACTCGCAATGGATCGAGCGCTTGCCGTGGTACTGCGTGGAGCACAAGGCTGTTCACTCTGACGCTATTCTCCGCGACGTCCGTGACTGTACGAACCCAGAGGACGAAACGCCCCCACAGGACGAGTTCATTTCCTGCATCTGCGAACGTCAAGTTCGGCCACCGCCCCCGGGCGAGGTCTCCGACGCTGTTCAGTGCGACCACTGCTATGCTCGTTTCCACGGCGCTTGTGCTACGAACGGCGGTTCGTGTCCTTTCTGCGATCATAACCACTGGAACGGTTCCATACACAAGGATCGTAACTGGCATTTCTGCTTCCTGCCGACCATGCTCGTTACCGCCCCGGACATCACGAAGTTCTACTCGGTGTCTTGGAAGGAGCTGGAGTATATTGTCGCTCGTGTCGACCGGCTCTGCGTCTCGATCGGCAGCTTCTTGAGTTTCGCATCGCAGAACGGCAACCAACGCCTCGAACTCATCCCTCAGGTACGGCAGTACATGCGCAAGCTGTTCAGGATCCAATTCGCTGTCTCCCCGAATCCCGAGGTGTCGTATGGGTTGGACCTCGCAGGACTGCATCGGATGCTCGCGTCGAAGCACCGACCACCTCCACCGAAGAAAAAGCGTCGCGTCAGGCTCGTGTTCCAGCCAGAGGTCGCAAACCCTGATCCAGCTGATGGAACGCGTTGCGTCTGCAATGGGGCTGGCCGCGATCCCGCTCGCGTACAGTGCACGTTCTGTTCTCAATGGTACCATGAGACCTGCGTCCGACTGCCAGGTAACTTGGGACAGAGCGGACGCGCAGCGTGGTTCTGTCCGATCTGCGCTGTCAAGAAGACTAGAGTCTATCCCTATGCTGAAATACGTGTACGGTGTTTCGGTACGTGGCATTCCCGGTTCGACTCGAGTTGTCACTGACCCTCGTCCTTCAGATCCCAATCATCGCATTGTTGACGATGGGCGTCCGGAGGTGTACGTTGATTTGAGCAACCTACAAACACCGTCCGAGCAATTACGTCGCGTGTCTCTTGCTCCCAACAAGAACGCGATCGTCCTGGAACTGCACCGTTACTCCGTAGCAGTACCGGCACCTCCCCCGACGGGTGAACGCGCAACTCCACAAGGTGTCACTCCTTCTCCTCATGGCCCTCCTGCTCCGGCGCGAGCGTTGCCTGATCCACACGCCTCGCCGCCACCCTACCTTGGTCCCACGCCGCCTGCATTTGCACGCAAGCGCAAGACCCCGCCTCGCGAGAGCCCGCCCCCTCCAGGCGACGCGCGCGGATCCGGCGTGGACGATCGCGATGGTCCCCCAGCGGCGCGGAAGGTGAAGCTTCTTGTCAAGTCGCCAGAGGAAAAGGAGCGGGAGTCTGCGCGTCGCAGTGCCAACGGAGCGCTTCGCGTAGAGGACCTTGTGCAATAGATGCCATCCTTCGCCGTGGTTTCGTGTCTGTCGTGCTTTCGCGTTTGCTTTCATGTCTTACTATCGCAGCGGTACTGCTGTACAGGCTTGTATGTTATGTGACTACTAGGGAATTTACAGATTGTAAGATAATGACACTTTCTGACCTATATATTCACCCCTACCGTGTGTATGCTTAGACTGCCGGGTCCTCCTCTCCTTTAGGCTAATCCCAGCACCATTCTCCGTCGCACGGCCTCTGTTTTGAACTCGTCGAATAGCTGCGGCGAGACGTCGCTAGTACGTACTTACGGGAAGAAAGCCTCTATGAGTGCAGTCGGATGAGCATCGACGGGGACGCAGCTCCTTCAACGTCTGGAGTGTTGGATGCGACTCCAACATCCGTGACAGGTTACCAAAGAACGCGTCGCCTTATTCGGCACCGTAGTACGAGTGGGAACCAGCCATCTCGAGCCTTGTAAGCGGCCTGGAAGCCGCGGCGAGAAGCGGCGAGAGATCGTCGATGCCGCAGCGGATGGGCACAGAGAGATGATATTGCACCAGCTTTCAATGTCGATAGTGCAGAACAGCTCAGCTCTCAGGCTAAGACTCCTGAGGTGGCCGAACGTTCATCGCGAGGAAAGGTATGAATGTCGAGAGCATGAGCTGTTCTTCAAGTGGAGTAGTATTTCCAAGGCTCAGACGCAGCTCCTGGTGTCTGAAGAGTAGAGGATAGGCAGTTAGAAGCCGTAGTGCAGTTCGATGCACGTGTAGCTGCGCAGACGAAGGTGGCTGAGTCGATACTGCAGCAGTTGTCCAGCGAAGTCTTGTGTCACGAAGATTGTTCGTGGTACACTTCAAGCGTCCGCAAATTGGGCATATGTGATTCGATAAAAGTACCCCTACAGAGTGGATGAGAGTGACTATTTCTGCTCCCTATACTATAATTTTTTGCCTGAGCCCTGTGTTTGGCCTGAAATATCCGTGGAAAAATACCAGCCCTCCCCTTCAGGATATCTTCAGCGTTATTCTCCGCGTGGTGCACTCCCACGCGAACTCGCTGAAGAGCTCGGGCGAGACGTCTTGAGGATTAACGGGAAGGATTCCGTAGTCGGATGAGCATCGACGGAGATGTAGCTTTTGCAGCGTCCGCAGTGTCGGATGGGACTTCATCATTTGTAAAAGACCCCGAAAGAATCCATCGCCGTGTTGAGGACCGTACGTTTGGTTGCCAGCTATCGTGAGTGTCGACAGCGGTCGCGGTACTGCCGTAAGAAGTTGCGGGAGATCGTCGATGCCACAGCGGACATGAAGGTCTCGGACCGATGGGCATAAATGGATGAGGTCGCACCACATCGTCATGTCGACGGTGCAGAACAGTCCAGATCTTAAGATAAGACGCCTGAGGTGGTTGAAGGGTCGAGCACGAAGTAACTGCAGAAATGGCGAAAGCATGAGCGGTTCCTCCTTCGGTGTCTCGCCAAGATCCAGAAAGAGGCTTTCGAGAGAGTTTGAGGAGTGTATTATGGGCAGTTCAAACCCAAAATACAGCTCAGAACACCTGTAAGAGCGTAGATGCAGGTGACTGAGGTCGATCCTGCGACGCCGGTCCAAGGTGGACTCCTGGTCTGCGGCGTGTTCTTGGTCCACTTCGAGCACCCGCAGACTGGGCATGTGAGCCAGCAGTCCGAGGGCCACAGAAGGGGGAACGTGCTTGTTCGGCCAGTAAAGGAAGGACTGCAGGCTCGGGAACAGGCAAAGGCCGTCTGCTCGCGCTTCGAGCAATGCATCTGCGTCTGCCTCGGTCGCGGTGAGGGCGTAACAGTCGAAGGTTCTGAGAGCGGGTAACGTAGTGCCCAGCTTCATCAACGTCTGGACAGATAGCTTGTCCCCCGGCAAATTTGGCAAGTCGTCGTCCACACCCTTCTCCAGAAAGGTGGCGCAATCGGAAGCGCCTGGGCATTGGCGAATGAGATGTATAAGGGCAAGTGCCGTTCGTTCGAAGTCGATGATGACACCGCCGTCGGTCGTACCGTTGGTAGACGCGAACATCTGAGCAAAGCCGGCGAGGAGTACAGGATAAGGAACGTGACCGGCAGTAGACCGGCGGGAAGCTTGCAATTGACTTTCCGTCTCCGTAATTTCTACGTCTGCTTGCATATCTTACCTCTTAGTGGAAAGCTGCACAGGGCTCGTACCATATGTTATATTATTGCTATTCCAGACTGTATGACAGCGGCCATCTCTGATCTAGACACTCGCGTGGCCTTCAGTGCGAGCGCTGTATTTGCAACGAACAGACCATTTCTCTGGTCCTTCATGAAATTTCTGGCATAATTATCCGTTGAACGCACTCGGTGTTGAACTCCGCGAACAGATGTGGTGAAACGTCTCCAGGATTCACGGGGAGTGTGCCGAAGTCGGATGAGCATCAACGCAGACGCAAGACTTGCAGCGTCCGAAGCGTCCACAGGGACTTTATCATTCGTAACATGTTCCCAATAAACGCGTCACCGTATTCAGGGCCGTCGAACGAGTCGTTATCGGCTATCGTAAGCTCCAGGAGCGGCCTCGTGGCCGCTGCGAGAAGCTGCGAAATATCGTCGATGCCGCAGCGAACATGATAGAGGTTTTGAAGCGAGGGACACAAAGAGATGATGTTGCACCAGTTCTCCACGTTGACGGTGTCGTATATTTCGGATCTCAGGGTAAGAGTACTGAGCCGGGTGAAGGGTCGAGCACGAAGGAGATCCAGGAGCGGCGAAAGAACGAGAAGTTCTTCCTCTGGTCTCACATCGTCCGAGTCGAAGTCAAGACAGAGATCCTCGAGGGTATCAGACGAGTGTGCCAGCCAAAATGCAGCTCTAAGCAATGCTAATCGTGTAGATGTACGTGGCTGAAGTCGATCGCGCGACGCTTGTCTAGCGACGATTGCTGGTCCGGAGAGTGCTGTTGGTACACCTTGAGAGTCCGTAACTTGGGCATATGAGCCAGCAATCCCAGTAGTACCGAGTGAGGAGGTCTACTTGCGGGCCAGAACGTGAACGACCGGATGCTCGGAAAAAGGCAACGACCGTCGGTTCGCGAGTCGAGGAGCGCATTGGCATCGGTCGCGGTCCCGGCGAGCATATGACAGTGGAAATTTCTGACGGCGGGTAGCATAGCGCAGAGCTCCACCACGGTCAGGACGCACAGTCCGCGCGCCGACGAGGAAACGTCTATGCGGTACTCGCCCCTCTTGATATTGAGGACCCAGTCAGCAGCTCGTGGACTTTGGTGGACAAATCCCATGAGGTCCCATGCGGTCCGTTCGCAATCGACGTTGACACCGCCGTCAGTCATAACGGTAGTCGACGCGAGCATCTGGACGAGCGTCGAGCGGAACGGAGAGTCATGAGCCAAGCGGCAACAAACACGCAGCAGCCTGCTATCAGACACGGCTCGTTGCACAGGACGTTGCGACTCCTTTGAAAATAAGGTTTTCTGTATATATCTCCTCCTCTTTTTTCTGCTGGATGTGCTGTGGACGTTACGGAAACATCTGTGCCTCATGTCTGTACCGGGATGTACGTCGGTGATCGGCCCATTAGCCCAGTGGTTAAGGCGCCAGCCTTCTACATCTATTGTGAAAGCTGGAGATCGTGAGTTCAATCCTCGCATGGGCCTATTTTGCTACATCCTAGCTTCTTGCTGCTCCCAAGCTGTGAGACCTGTATCAGCGGCGTAGCTCGCCAGTCTGCGTTCTGTGTGTTGCGTTGGAAGTTTTGCTGTGGCAGCGCGATTTTGTTGCGTTGAAGGTCACGATCGATAATCTTGGCGCCTGCGTGCCTTGCAAGCCACTCGGCTCAAAATCCCGATGGTCCGCAAAATTTCTTCTGCATGGCACCAAGTTCGACGACTGCGACTGGCGTGGGCATCCTCGTCAAAGGTGACGCGATCGCGCGTCCGTTTCAGGACGAGTTGAAGCGCGAGCTAGACGGTGCTAGTCGTCCGCCGCGGCTTGTGGGTATCCTCGCGACATCGGGCGCACCGTCGCGCATGTACGCAGAGTTTACGCGTAAAGCTTGCACGGAACTTGGTTTCGACTTCGTCTTGCGCGAGACTGGCGCTGCGGTTCAAGGCAGCGATGCTGGCGAGGGCGATGGCGCTGAAGAGGCGATTCTGGAGGCCAACGTCGACCCCGCCGTCGACGGGATCATGGTCTACTATCCTATCTATGGCGGCACCCAGGTGCATTTGAACATTGCTCTGTCTTATTTTGTACTGACCGATGCCCAGGACCAGTACTTGCAGCAGGTCGCCGTGCTCTGTGCTTGACCGACGGGGAATGCTCAGACGCCACAGGTCGTTTCGCCGTTCAAGGACGTCGAGGGGCTGCATTTCCAGTTCCATTACAATCTCTATCACAAGTGCGTATCTACAGCCTCTAGAATATGCGTGCTAATCAGATGCAGCATTCGCTATATCACGCCAGCGTCGTTGCTCGCACCGGCGGGGAGCATGGGTCTCTCGGACGCGCCGCTGTCCGCCGCGCCGCCGCCAGGGACGGTTAAATCGATTCTGCCTTGCACCCCACTCGCGGTCATCAAGACGCTCGAGCATTGCGGTGTCTACAACGCGCTGCTTGCGTACGGCGACCGTGCATACGGCCGGACTATCCTCGTCATAAATCGGTTCGTCCTCCGTAATGTTACACGCACCACGTTCTCATGTGCACCCAGCTCGGAGGTCGTCGGCCGTCCGCTCGCCGCACTTCTGGCGAACGATGGTGCCCGCGTATTCAGCGCGGACATTGACTCGATCCAGGAATACACGAAGCGACCGCCAGGTGACTCGAAGCGCTTCCATGCCAGACATGTCGTGCGGCCGTCTGCACTGTCGCTAGAAGAGTGTCTCGCGCTCGCAGACGTCGTCGTTGGGGCGGTGCCGAGTGCGTCGTACAAGGTGGGCACATCGAACTTGAAGGACGGCTGCGTGTGCATCAACGTGTCGAGCGAGAAGAACTTCGAGACGGATGTACGCCAGAAGGTATGTCCAGCATGGGTGTGGTTGAGGAGTGGTTCTGAAGCTGGGACGTAGGCATCGATTTATGTTCCTGCCGTAGGCAGAGGTATGTGCTCCACATTATCTCAGTCGCGTGGGTTTGACGCCGTGGTACAGTCACGATCATGATGCTTCTCCGCAATCTGTGCGCCGTCCTGTTCCTTTTTGTCCTTTGACTGACCAGCTACGCAGGTTGCGCCTCCGACAATACCAGGAGCTATTGCGCGAGTCGCAGGAGAGCAAGTAGAGACGGCACGGCTAGTGCAGTTGTTTGAAAAGCGAGATAGAATGCTCGCATGTAGTAGATGTAGAATCACGAAATCTGACTTTACTGGGAATAGTCGTGACGTGAAGAGGACAAGGAGAGCGGCGGCCATTTCCGTCACATTCCTTGTCTCATGGGCGTTGCATGTCGTTCCAGTTCGAGTGGCCTGAGTTCTCGGACGAGTTCCAGCAACATGCGCGCCAGCTCGTCGAGAACGCGCTCAACAAGGGCAACAAGCCGCCCATTATCGCAGATAGAATCGAGGTGGTCGAGATAGAAATGGGCTCGCAGGTGCGCCGTTGGTCGGTCTGCCGGGACGGCATGCTCATCGCGCCTCGCAGCCTCCAGAACTTGAAATCAGGGATATCGGCGAGATCACGGTGGACCAGTTCAGAGGCATCTTTCGACTGAGCTACGATGGCGACGCGTATATCGTCTTGCGCACAAAAGTTCAGGTGCGGCCGCTTTGAACTCTGCTGCGCTGGCACTGGGACTGACAGCGCACACATCCTACGCAGGCCAACCCGCTCACACACAAGAAGCCAGACATCCATCTCATGGCCGGCTCGCGCGGCATTCTCGCAGCGCACCAGCCGCTGGTGGTACCAATGCTCCTGCGGCTGTCGCACTTCAAGATCAACTGCTACGTCGTGCTCGTCGTCTCCAAGCAGAAAGGAATCACTCTTGTCTTCAAGACGGATCCGCTGCAGAACGTCGACGTGAACAGCACCTTCGACTCGATTGCAGTCTTGCAGAAGTACATCCAGCGCGAGATCGAGGAGCAGCTGCGGGAAATGTTTCGCGAAGACCTGCCGAGTATCATTCATCGGCTTAGCCAGTCGTGGCTTGCTGCGAAGACGACAGTCCAGGCGCCGTATCTCGGAAAGAAGGCGCAGAGGCTCGAGACTATGTCGACGCCCGACCTTAGGTTGCACACTCCGTCGCCGCCACCGTCGCGCCCTCTTCCGTTTTCGCGCTCGTCCTTACCGTCACCGTCTGTACCCCCTGCGCCCCCGTCGTTGCCCCCTTCTATCCCACCGTCTCTGCAATATCGCGTACCGCGCACTGCGAGTGTTGCGTCCAGCTCGCTCCGCACGAGCACGGAGCCGACACCGAGTCCGGTTGCCACGCCATCGAACGAGGACTCTGTGTTTCCTCACATCGAGAATTACGACCCGACGTACGGCATGCGTCCGGAGGGGGTGCCCATTCGCAGCAACTTTGGAGCGTTCAAACGATTATGGACGACGAATCGCGGGCTCGCAGACCTCGCAGAGGAGGCTCACCCCGAAGACGTTGACGGTGGTAGCGTGGATGCGTTCGACCTCGTCTCTTGGGATGATCTTGTGCCGTCACCACAGACGCTGAACAGCCCGTCGCTGTTGCCTACGGAGCCTGACATGACTGAGGAATACGAAGCGATACCTGCTGTTGGTGGAGGCGTCGTTATGCGTCCACGCATCGTTCATGCACAATCGCGACAATCAGACTTGCCCACGTCCGCCATCCAGAGCCCTCTTTCCGTCCGCCCTTCCATGCTCACGAGAAGCTTGGGAGACCTCACCCAGCCTGGACTCTCCAGTCTTGCGCTCAGACTTGCAGAAGTAGAGGCAAATCCTGCAAGGCAACTCTTCCCGCGCGCTGCCTCCGTCGTATCGTCCGGCGCCCCGTCGATGCGGCCTCCCTACCGCCAAGACATGACCCTCTCCGCCATTCCACGCCTGCGCCGGTCGAGCACTGGCGGGGAGAGCAGCTACTTTCCCGCGATGCCTACGCCGCCCCCTTCCGAGGTCATCATGTCCGACCGCGAGGACGATTCGCAGCCGCAATCGCCCCTCTTCCCAACACGCCGCCCGCGCGGCAACTCCTCTCGTAGACGAAGCGTATCCCCGCTCACGCATTCGCCTCGCGCAATCGTCTTGCGTCCAGGGTTAAACGACAGCGTCTCGCAACTCGGTACGCTGAGCCAGTTGAATCAGACTTTGTCGCCGTACACTCGGACGCTCGAGCATGTTACCGTGCGCTCTATACCGCGCTCGACGCTGCTTGTCCCACCTGAGAAGGCGCCGCAACGTGCGCGTAGGAAGCGGCAGTACCGCATTGGACGCAAGGCAGCTGCACCGACTCCAGATGCAGAGGACGAGGAGACCGCCGTTGGGCGGGAGCGGTCGATGTCACCTGCCCCGCCGTCGGATTTCGACGCGAGCGACAGAGACCATTATTTTCGACAGGATCCGCCGCTCATACGAAGACGCGTACCGTTCAATTCGTAGCCCATCCGTTGCGCAGGTTGGCGAAGGGCTGTCATTCTGTGATTTAGCTTGCTGGACTCAGTTTCTTTAGATGTCGAACTCTCCACACCACTCATTTGGCTCTTTTTCTGTACATCTGTATTGTATAGCACATTGCAATGAGTACAGTATTGGTCGGAAAAATAAAGATTGAAAGAGCCGGAGCTGCGAGCACCGCATTGCTTCATTACTCTTGACCTTGACCATGTCTTTCTTCGGACGAGGTGGAAACTCGCCAGCGCCAGGCTTGCCCTCGCGTCCTGTTCAAGGCCAGTCCAACTACGCCCAGTACGAGAAACGGCCGTACGGTGGGCAGCCTGCTGGATACGGCGGCGGCGGCGGGAGTGGCAGACGGTGCGCGCGTTGCTCGCAATATTTCTGCACATCTAACGCGTTCTACAGATTCGTCGTCGACAAGTGCCCCGAGTCGCTCGCCATCTACAACGCCGTCATCGTCAACCCGTCCGATTTCGCTGCTGGCCAGCATGTAATGATCAATAACACGACCCCAGTCACGACCAGGTAACGTGTCAGACACGTATATCTGCGATATTATCTCTAATATCGCTATAGACACGATACGACGCGTCAGATACAACCAGGATCAGTCGGCGTGTCAGCGTTTCATCGCCAATGGCTCCAGCTCAGCCAGGGCGACAACGTCCAGGTCGAGCCGCTCGATATGCGCTCCATCGGCAACGAAATCTACCTCTCCTCGCTCGACGTCGACCTCGGCTTCTGGAACAAGCGTCTGGACATCGCAGAGCAATTCTCTGCGGACGACATCGCCGCGACCTTCATCCGTCTGTTCAGTGGCCACATATTCAGCCCCGGCCAGGTCGTCGTGTTCGAGTACCACGGCACCAACATGCGCGGTGACATCCGCGGCGTCAACGTCGTCGAACTCGCGTCGATGCAGCGAGGAGGTCAGCCGCAGGAGAGCGGTCACCGCGGACGCCAGTTCGGTCTGCTCATGGACCAGACCGACATCACGTTCCTCAAGGCCGAAGGCAGTCTCATCAAGCTCAAGAGCAGCGCCAAGAAGCCTCCCCCGAACGCCGTCGTCG